ATTTTTCCATAATTATTTCAGTCAGTATATGCTTCATGCTCCTAGACTGTAGCCCTCCTCTTAAAGTAGGATTTCTCTAAGTAAAAATGTGAAAAGAAAAAAAAGGCAACAAAGAAGCAAAACAGAACTAAAACAGAATACAGGTTGGTTGTTACCAGAGGTGCAGAAAATTGTGGGGTGGATGAAATGGGTAAAGGAGTAAATAGTACGGTGATGGACAGAAATGTGGCTTTTAGTGGGGATCACAATGTAGCATATACATTGCAGAATCACTGTATACAAAGTCAAATTATAATGCTGTACACTTGAAACTTATATTATTAGAAAGCAGTGTTATTTTAAAAAAAAAGAAAGCAGTGTTATTTTAACAACATTTTATTTATTAAATAAATTTTAAATGGGGCCTAAGAATCTTCAGGGTCATCAAATTCCTCATAGCTTCCTCCTATGAATGGGCATTCACATTCAAAGAAAGGAGAGCGAGTGACAGAGAGAAGGCTTGGAAAGTGATGACATTTTCTGTAGGTTTTAGCCTCCCAAAGTTTCAGCTCTTTGCCACTGACGTCTCTACAAGTTAGAAATGGAGTGGCGGATGCTTTAACATCTGCACAAAATATTGCGCAAAATTTAACATTTAACATTGCGCAAAAAAGCAGTGAAATCAAGGCTGTTAAAGTCTCAACACCCAAGCCACGATCCAGGCATGGAAAGGTGAGTTCTGAATGCCAGAGGCCTGCCTGTTCAAGGCCTGATCCTTTGCACTGGCTGGAGAGTGGAACTCACTGATGCTGTGTTCTCCTTATCTGTGGGCTTAGGTCACACCTGAAAGTCACTGGAAGGAGATAAATGACATATTTGGGGGCAATAAAAAAATCATAGTAGGTCTAGAAAAAGGAAAGCAAAAGATTTGATATCATTGATAAGACAAGGAAAGATGCTAGTTAAAGAAAACAACAGATGATTCTGATCAGGACTGGTACAGAAGGCATTTAGGAGATGCTTGTTTTCCACTTAGCTTTGCAAACCAGTCTTAGTATCACTAAAATAAAATCACCAGTGTGTGTCCAGTTCAGCCTTTTACTATTTCTCAAATGGGAAAAATGTCTCTGCCCTCATGCACACTTCTTATTTTGAAGGATTTCCTAAGGCATTTCTAGAATTTGTCTGAATGTTAGACAATGACTCTGGCCATCCTGGGACCATGGGCCACCAGTCACGACCTGCTCCTTTCTTTGCAGAGCTCCAGGCTGGGGGACCAGCACACTGCACTGGCCTCTCCCCTGTGCTGTTTCAGTGCTTCCTTTCCCTCATCACACTCCTTTTCAGCTCCTGAGGGGCTTTATATTTCTGGCTACCCTTGCTTTCCTGGATTCTCGTCCTTACTATGGCTCTCATAGATTAGAACTATTGGAGTTTTGGTTGGGGAATTCACTCTCAGGTATTACGGTCTTTTAAAAAGTCTAAGAAATGAATGAAATGAACAATTCCATTTTCTGCTATGCCAAACAAGAGGAGATTGCCTCAAAACTCTACCTTCTGATGAAAAACACTGCTGGAAACTGGATCAGTCATGTTTTAAACTGAGTAGTCTCTTTTTTTTTTCACCTGATAGTCTGAGAACAGTGTTTCTCAGAGCACAGATGTTACTAAAAAAAAGAGAGAAAAAAAGGATTCCATGATCAAATAAGTCTGGGAAATGCTGGATTAAATAAAATTGGAGAGTTTTCTTTCTTATGTGATTTTTTCGATCCTTTGATCTGCTAATTGCACCAAGACTCTCCAAGATCACGTTATAATACGCAACACTTTCCGAAAATTTTTTGCCCAAAATGATCTTTGTTTCAAGACTTTCCTGATGAGACTAATGTTCCAAAAGTTACTCTGGGAAATGCTAGTCTAGACTTATAACACTTGGATTCCGTTTCTCCCAAGGAGAAAGCAAAATCACAGTGAAGGAGAGAGGGACAAGGAAAAAACGGAAGAAGAATATAATTCTGCGAGTACCTGGCACTACTTGAATTAAACTTCTAAAGGAAAAATGAGGTTCTGTGGAAAAGCAGCAAAGTGACTGATATAGAATATTTTTTCCAAGAGACAAAAAATATTTGGGGGCAATGAAAAAATCATATTCCAATATTTTTTCCTATTCTGCAGCCCCACTTCCAGAAGACATTGTTGTCAATGCTCAGGGTCACAGGAAAGTCATAGCAGGAAGATTCATGACAAGGGAATCAGGAAACCCAGGAAGAGACCTGCTGTCTTTACAACTATTCAGTTAACAGGGGTGCATAATGGACATTTATTTACATATCATCACAATCAATCATTATTCAGACTCTCATGCTGGCTGTGATCTAGGCTGGCACTTTCTTCCAAACCATAGCTCTACTCCATACATAATAGTACACAGGCTTATACAATTCTGTATACAATTTGCAATCAATTGGGAAAGTCTTCCCAGTCTTCTAATGAATGACAGTTATACTGGTGATTTAGATTTAAGATCATATGTTTTATATGAGTTGTTGGTGATTTTAAGCCTCAGGTCTTATACAGGGGAGGGTTTCATTATCCTAAACCCATGACATCTCATCATGGAGGGCCCTAGTCCTGAACTGTAGCCATCTTCATCATAGGGGTCAACTCTTACACACCAGGGCTCTCCTTTCAACTCTTCTTCTACTCTAATTGAGAGAGAACAGCTAAGTATCCTTACACCCTTGCTGACTCCAATTTAAAACCACAAAATTATCCTCTGGTCAAGGGTATTTCACTTTTACAGTGAGCCACACTGCAGAGTAAGCTCCTAAGCCATGAGCCCCTAATTAAATTATAACTACCTTTTATCTGCTTGTTCTGATTGACATGATGCAACAAAGAATTGAATGAGACATCAGATGACCTGGGTTTTGTCCTTGGACTAGATTGCAAATTCCTTGAAGGCAGGGGTTCTGTCTTGTCTACCATGCTTTCCCCAAAGCCACTGTAGTGGTTACATGAAATTCAAGTATCTGTAGGTGAACAAATAACCAGCAGCAGGATCCCAGTCAGGCCAAGCCTTTCCTCTTATACCTGGAATTCTCATCTAACAATGAGGATGAGGCTACCTTCCCTATGTCCACAGGTTGGGTAGTCACTGAGATGAAGGGTATGATGGGGAAGCCATCACCAGCTTCCTAGCAGTAGCAATGATAAAGGTGTATCAGGGTCGTGATGAGGTCTGTTAACCTCCTCAAGGAATTCTAGTTCTTCTGGGAGGAGCACTAGGATTTTAGTCCTATGACAACCTCTAGTTTCAGTGGACAGATCTAAGAGGTCAACCAAATAGGCAAGAACTCTCATTTTCTCTGCAAAAGTAGCACAAGACTAGCTTTTGTAAGAACTATAATTCACAAGGCAGATAAATTTGATTTTGGTGTCCTGTCTCTAACAGGCCATATTTCCATACATTTCCATGATGAAATAAGCCAACTTGTTATATCAGCATCATCCTTTATGGGAGAAAATCAGGGAGCAAAGGGCAGGAACAAAGAAAGAAAATAAAGCAATTTAGTTAGCAGGATGCCAGGTACACTAGGGTGGTGAATATGGGATGGTGGTACTGGTGGTGAGGGATGAGAACTGAATAAATCAAATCAAATCAACCCCAAAAGCATACACATAAAATATGTAACAACATAAAACTAATGTTTCCCTTCACTTTGTTAATTTCCAAATTGAGAATCATTTTTCACGAGCTAATAACTTGAACTGGTGTCTATCTGCACTTGACTTTGGAAATTGAGATGTATTCCTGTGTGAACATCTTCTGCAGTGTTGAGGAAAATGGCTGCACAAGGGTAAGGTCAAGGTGGGACTAGGTACAGGAGGCCTCAGAGATGGAACTACTTCACTGCAAGGCTGGGGGAAGCATTTATATTATGTACTAAATAAATGGCGCCCCCTGGAGTTGTACTCCTGGTAAAACATTGAAGGCTTGGAATCTTAACTTCTCCTTTGGACTACTAGAGATATGAGAAGAAAAGGAAACACAGTCATCTGGAAAAAAATTTTAGGAGCATACTAAGCACACCCTCCTCCAGCAAACAATTAAAACTGTCTTCACACAGATAATATCAGTACGCCGCCCCATCACATATCCAGAAATATATAACAAAGGCATTCACACTTATCAAGATGATTCTATTCTATTACCTAATGCCCCTCCCCTATTGAAATTTATTGTAAGTTATATTAGGATGTCATACACACACATATACACCTACAAGGTCATAGTACAATAAAGGAAGAAATGCTGCTAATATTGACCCTATTAGTCTACTAGTTTGTATTTAGCTTCATAATTTCCATGAAATTTACCTTTAAGAAGTTTAATGCTAAACACTATATATAGCATTTGCATTTGGTGTGAATGCAAATATCATTAGCAACTGCAGGAGGGTTTTCTTTTTGTCAGTCTATCTTTTCACTTGCTCTACTTAGTGAAGGGAAGAGATAGGGTCCAAATCAAATAAACCAGACCCCTTGACTTCACTGGCTAAAACACAAGCAAAACTGATTTTTCTTCGTGTTGTTTTATCCCACTGTTAATTTGCATCACTAAGGAATTTTCTAGGAAAGTACTCAGCAAAATCAAGACTCCTCTGGTTGCCAAGCTCATGGAAACAAAGTTCTTTCTCTTAAAACTCTGAAAGAGACATTCCAAAGTAACCCACCATTAGCTACAGAGCCAGCAACAGACTACATATCTATGAAAGAAGAAAGCACGGGAGGAAAGAAAATGCATAACATAAACAAGAACAGACAAAACCTTAAAGAGGAAGGAGAAAGGAAAACATTTAGATTCCTTGAGTGATGGAAATAAATACCAAAGCTATTAGTTTCAGTTCAAAGAACGTATCACTTTATGCTGTTTATTATTTCTTGAGGATTATTTATTTTATCTTAAAATATCCAAGGGGTAAAAAGGGTCCTTGGAGGTAAGCAGCCATGAAACTGACCTGATCAGGAGAGGGCCTGTGATTGGAATGTTGCGACCTCCCAGGAGATCGGTGGTGGTGGTGATGGTGGTGGTGGTGGTAATGGTGGTGGTCCTCATCGTAGTTGTCTGCCATCAGCTTCATTCTGTTCTGGGTCTGCACAGAACAAAAACCAGGGAAGATCCCATCAGGAGCTAGAAGAGCAGCCAAAGAGACTCAGGGCGTAATTATAGCACCTATAGGGCTTTGTTCCTTATCCAGAAGTTTTCATTTTGGGTCAAATTAAAACTTAATGAAGAAAGCAGCCTTCCATTAGCTTTGGTGAGAGGCTTCGTCACATCCTTGAAGCTATGGAGATCTTAGATCTACATTTGTAGATATAAATGTACTTCCCTTATATAGCTTGAAAGGGAAAAAAAAAATGGACATATCCTCAGGTGCTTATCCCCCCATATCAAGTAATCACAGAATCCAGAGTAAGCGTCAGTCACAAAGTGCCAACAATCACATCAGACCCTCTGGAGCAAGCAAGAGAAGGAAGCCCTGGATGACACATGGGGAAGAGGTGGGTGAAGACACACAACTACAAACAGTGATCTCACAACACAAGGCTGGAAACGACTCAAAAGTTCCTAAATATGAAAACAACAAAGATGACTTGTTGCTGGGATGACTTCGAGGAAAAGGGCTCTCTGTGGGCATTTAAGTTGATATTGCTCTTTGGGAAAATGGAAGAAAAGGAGTGAAGTTGGTAGCGAAGAGCTGACCACCCTCATTCGTGCCCCACCATATTTGTCATGTGAGACAATTTGGTGTCACAACGAACAGAATTGTATGCTTTATTATGCTTATGAAGGGCAAAAACCAGACCAGAGGTGACTTGAGCTAACAGGGTCACAGAGTCTAAAAAAAGGTCTAAAGACCATGGAAAAAGACATAAAAACATATACAGCCCAGAAGAGCAGGAAATGTAAAGAATACAAGCGTGGGTTTGGAGATAAGGTTGTCAAGTCCTGCTTTATGTCTTCGCTGGGCAGTGGTCTTTTGAGAGTTAACTATTTCTAAGCCATTGTTTCCTCATTTCTAAAATGACCCACTTTAGGGTCGCTGTTAGGAGCAAGTAATAGGATGGACTTCAAGGAGCAGTGCAGGACGTGGCACTTAAGAGCTCACAATAAAAGTCAAATGATGTCACTACTATTATTGTTGTTATTTACGATAAGAAACCTCTTAATACATGTTGCTTTCTTTGCCTGTGACATCTCTTCTAGCCCCTTCCTTTCCCTTTAACTTCTCTATCTAGCTTACTCACAATTTTTTCTCCAGGAGACTTTCTCTGAGCCCATTCTTGAGGCCAGGCGATGCGTGCCTCCTGCTAACCACAGCTCTATAACCAAGGGATTATCAGTCTATCTGGCATCTACCTCTCCTGTGAGCCTAGCCCAGGGCCAGGCAGATGCACAGACACTATGCATGTTGCTGCAATGAGTGACTGAAAGAAAGAGGGGGCCATGCTTTTGAGGGTGCTGCCATCCCCAGAGGCCAGCTACATGTTTGTTTTCAGCCAGGGAAGGTCACTGAGAGTTGAGGATGTCTCAGAAGTTGCCATAACAATCCCATTGGCGATTGCAGATGACACTGAGCCATCAGCACTTGTAGAGAGCTGGACCTGGGCTGTCAGAGCTTCCAACCACTGGAATTTTATTATGTGACATAAATAAAGCTCTGATTAAATAAGAGAAATTTGGGCTTAAGATGGTGTATTTTTGCAGTCTTTTTCATATACAATCCATCTTATCTTCAAAACTTTCCTGGGAGGAAGTGTTTCAGCTCTCATTTCCAGTTAGAAAATCAAGACATATGTTTTGGCCCTCAGAGACTCTTTCTTGACATAAAATAAGTTGATTTTGGGGATCTTCTAATTCTCAATCTCTAGACTTTTCTCTATGCCATGTGATAAACAGAGAAGGCAAATAGCTAGCCAGGTAGAAACAGCTTTCCTATAAAGCCTTTGGTTTTGTTAAGTTTTGAAAACACCTTATGTCCAAATTCTGCCTGCTAAAGGATGTTTCCTGATTTACCCCATCCATTTTTAAAAATGTGTCCAATATTTGGAAGGTCCCAGAGTGATTGTTAAAAAAAAAAAAGTATGTATATAAATAATAGCAATAAAAATAGAGGGAAAGATCCACCTAAAAATTAAATAAAAAATCCCAGGCAACCTTTGGCAGCTGATAGACTTTCCATCTTTCACTTGTCCACTTAAAGTGTCAGAGGCCCAACGGACGAGTCATCTTGTGAGAAAGAGCAGGTTCAGGGAGCTGTTGCCAACCAAGTCCTGAGATTCCCTTTATTAAGTCGCCCCTGTGCACAAGATTCTGAAATTCAGCATTCACACCTAAAATTCCAGTATTGTCAGGAGCCTGTACTTTTGAACTCATGAACTAATAAATCTGGAATTGTTTCTTCTAATAGAATTCTGAGAGCCTGAAGGGAGCTGTAAGATCTGCTGTGGTCAAGAAGGAAGGGACTTGCCCAAGAATGAACGATGGAGCCTAAATGAACAAATAATAACTCTGCTATTGTAAACATCATAATGTCCTTATCCTCTGGGGAAGCTCCCGTGATTTTATGAGATTATTTTCTTACCAGCGACAAGCCTAAAGTTCCCTACCTTTGAACTGTATCCCATAAAAGAATGCACAAGCTAAACAAGATGCTCTATGCAGTCCTAAATGTGTCTGCTGAAATGAGGTGTTGGAGAGTAGGCATGTCATGGGATAAAGACTGTAAATGAATGATGTCATCTTTCCAATTTGGTGCTGAAATATAAATAAACCACGTTGTTCATGTGAATACCAGATCTGGGGGAAATGTACACAGAGCAATTGTGAGCGGAAGAGGCTTCTTTTGATTAGTCTGGGCTGGAAGAGAAGAGTGTGAAACGGAGATGAAAAATGAGAGTTTGGCGTGATACTCTAGACCATTTTTATTTATCTTGCTTGTAATGTATCCCCTAAACTGTGACCGATTTCTCACAGGCTGGTTACTAGTTTTTTCCCTTGATGAAAACGTCTGACCAATACAGCTCATTTCATTGTCGAATTTAAATTGTCAAATTAAAAAAAAAAAGTATTTTTAAATTGACACTACCTAACCTCATCTGACCAGGTGATTCAGTTTCCTAACCCACCAAGAATGATCTGGAAGGATAGGAAGCCATGAATAACACTCCCTGACGGTCCATGGAAAAAAAAAACTGCAGAAAATTGCAACAAGGATTGGAACAAGGATACTATTTGTTCAAATAACCCCAGACACATTTACCAGTTGATTCCATGTGTAATGGTTCATATCCCCACAGCCATCAGATACACGAGGTACCCACCACAAAGCCTTAAACAGCAAATGTGCACCGTCGTGACTGAAATCTCAGGAAAACTAATATAGAGTTGGACAGGGCTAGCTTTCCACGGCACTGCACTTGGGACCTCGTGGACTCATTTAGCAATTCACTGAAGCCCATTTTATTTCCTTTTCGGTGTCTACCAAACTGCTGACCTGACACTTTTGCCTTTGGCTGTGTTATATTCGTTTTAGTATATTATGTCATGGCTGCTGAGACAAATCTAATCAGATTCCATTTTCTACTTCCTCTTTCTTCCAGGCACCACCTTATTTCTCCAGGGCAATAGTCTCCTAACAGCTCTCCCGCTGCATTGTTGCTTCCTATTCAACATAATCCACAGCCAGAGTGACACTAGATTCCGGTTGCTCCCTGACTTCAAGTTCCGCAGAGGCTCCCCACCCTCAAGAAAACAGCCCCAGCTCCTCCGAAGCTTGCCGGGCTCTTACAAGGTAACTGCTGTTCACCAGACAGCCTCACCTCTCATCTCCCCTCTTCTGGTTCTGTTTCCATCACGCCCCTTCACCCTCTAAGCCTTAACCTGAGCTATGCCCATTAGTTCTTCTGGTCTTAGCTGCAATGCCAGTCACTTCTAGAAGTGCCTCCCCTAAACCAGGCTCAGAAGGGATTAAATACTCTTCCACTACCCCCTCCAGAATCCTGTACCTTCCCCGAACCCACTCCCATTAACAGCACTTATCTCAATAAGTGCAAATTTTCTTGCACCTTCTTGCCTTTCTCTACCACCATGTTGAAATTCTTCCAAAGAAAGGACTATGTCTGAATGACTCCCGTATTCAACACCTGGCCTGGCACCTCTCTTGAGGGACGATAGAGTCTGGTGTATAGGTAGTAAGTAACTGTGTGTCAAATAAATGTGTGAATTCTTAAAGGAATAAATGGAAAGAGTACAGGGCACTTTAAAACAGATGAAAGGAAAAAAATACATAATTAACATCTGTGATGAGCTAGTTCAGTCTGTAACTCTTTTTGTGATACTTTTTGTCATGGTAGTTGGGGGCTGGAAAACAGGATTGATGTATAGTTTGAAGCTAATGGAAAAGTGAAACTGGTCTTCTTAAAAAAAAATTCATTCTTTAGTAAAATATACCCAGTGAATTTACTTTCTGCCTCCAGTTACTGACCTCATTAAGAATAAAGGGTATTAGGGTGTTGTGGGGTTCATTTCTTTACTACCCTCTAACCTTTGGAGGAGCAGGGACCTTTATAACACATTGTTAGCATCAAAAGTCAACCGTGGAAAACTGAAACTTTATCCATTAACTAAAATTTCTGATGAACACCATCTGTGAAATGGTGCCATATACTCCATCTCTCTTGATATTTCTGAAGAGTTTATCCAAGGAGCTCTTGAAACAAAATGAAAATCCTTGATTGACTAGTAATAGACTCAATAGCTTAATGGCAATATGTAGCTATAAAAGTGTAATATTAAAACTGCCTTTAAAAATATTTTAGTAAGGTAGCAATAACGAACTATGCTTTGATCAGTCATCTGGATCAAGTTAACAATAAAACTTTCATGAATGTGGTTTAAATAAGAAAAAGTATAATAAGATTTGTTGCTATGGGATATGGAGATAATACTATACAATAGCAATTACACTTTCTTCTATCAGGCTTTCTTTTTCTCTCTCTTTGCTGCCAAGGAAATCTGAAATAGTCCAGCACTCTTCTACTGGTCTTGTTTCTGCCAAATCAGAGCAAGGTCAACAATCCTTGTTTTCAA